TGGAAGATCTCCAGCTTCCTCCTTGAGATTGCAAACAATGAAGAAAACAGCCGTGATGTATAATGAAAATATATATTTAGACTGCTGTGTTGCAGTGAGTAGGATTTCATCAACAAGTAGTCAAGATGTATGCATCCACACGAACGGGATTTGCATATACTCCCGTTTCACATGACTGCTTTATCTAAGTTTACATATCAACAATTGTAATCCATGAATTTGACACAAGTGAGCTTAATGAGCACGTAATGAGCTTAATGAGCACGTAAAGATTTTGTTCCATTGAAGAGGGAAGAATGTCTTGTGTCAAGTTCACGGATCACAATGGTTGACGTGTACACTAATGTTATTCATGCAGCACACTGAGATAAAGCGGTCATGTGAAACGGGAGTATACGCAAATTCTGTTAGTGTGGATGCGTACATCTTGACTACTTGTTGATGAAATACTACTCACTGCAACACAGCAGTCTAAGTATATATTTTCATTATACATCACGGCTGTTTTCTTCACTGTTTGCATCCTACCCATGATCTCTCTGTTGCTACATTCCTCCTTGAGATTGGCAACCCTAATCTCCACATACGCAATGCACCGTATCAGCTGTTTGGGATTAGTGGTTGTTGTTCAGTCACACAGTCGAGTCCAACTCTCTGCAACCCCATGGACCACATCATGCCAGGCCCTCCCGTCTTCCGCTGTCCTCTGAAGTTGGCTCAATTTCATGTTTGTTGCATCGATGACACTGTCTGACCATCTCATCCTTTGCAGCCCCCTTCTTCTTTGACCTTCAATCTTTCCCAGCATCAGGGTCTTCTCCAGTGAGTGCTCCCTTCTCCTCTGGTGGCCAATGTATTTGAGCTTCAGCTTCAGTATCTGTCCTTCCAGGGAACAGTCAGGGTTGATTTCTTTTAGGACTGACTGATTTGATCTCCTTGCAGTCCAAGGGACTCTCCAGAGACTTCTCCAGCACCATAATTCGAAAGCATCTATCCTTTGGTGCTCAGCCTTCCTTATGGTCCAACTCTTGCAGCCATGCATTACTACTGGGAATACCGTTGCTTTGACCATACGGATTAGAAACATGCTTATTTTCCTCGCAAATGAAAACAGGAAGCAGAATTCTGTGCCCACATCCTGCCCTCTTCCTGTGCCCTCTTGGCCTAGAATGTGGCTCAGAATAAAACTAGAGTTTTATTCCAAGTCAGAAAATTCCGGGAAAGGACGGGCTCTCCTCTTCACCGGCCTCACACAATCTGAAGGCGGCAAATGATGGCAATTCATTTGTGGATGCCTCCTATTGACTTGTTGACTTTCAGTCAGTCTAGAAGCTTGGCAGTGAGGGAGACGCCACGGAGCCCCGCTAAACGGTAGAGAGATGCCAGGCAGGAGTTAGGCAGATGAAATACGAGCGCCGGGCTCCGTTTCCTGGGAACGGAGACGGATCAGCACAAGGCGGTGCAGAGTTTATAAAATATTCAATCGGGCCGCCGCTTGGAAACAGATCAAATGGATTTTCTATTATGCGCAAAAACTCCCAAACAAAGGATGCCGTGAACTCCCAGAAGGGTCATGTGCAAGCTAATGGTGTTACTGGGAGTTCAGGCGCAGATTTTAGTTTTTTGACTGTCATGGAGCACAAGCCGAGGTCTAGCGCTGAACTGAGAAGGAAGCTTTTTGCAAACACGTCTATTAGAGCCGGAAAGCTCCTCTCCTTCGGCACCTGTCTGAGGAGTGCGTCAAGAGCAGGAGGGAAGGGAAGCCGATTTAGTGAACAGGCCATCCGCAATTCGATTGGCTGGATTCTCCCATGAGAGCGGTCCGGGAAACACTGCCCCTCAGATGGAGCCAGTCACATCTTCCCTCAGTGACATCACCCTGTGGAATCTGTGGTGTCATGATGTCATCCTGTTTCCTGTCTGATCCCTAATTGGCTGTGATGGCTCACGACAGAAGAAAGCAAATGAAGGGGGGGGGGGTGACACTGAAGCTGCAGACGCAGAGAGGAGAAAACACAGGCTGCCAACAGATAGGAAAAGGTGGAATTAAGGGGGTGGGGGTGGCGGTCAGTGAATATTTTGGTCACTGTGAAGAAGGAGGAGGAGGAGGATTGGGTTTATACCCCGCCCTTCACTACCCGAAGGAGTCTCAGAGCGGTTTACAATCTCCTTTCCCTTCCCCTCCTCACAACAGACACCCTGTGAGCAGTGTTCCCCCCAAGCTGAGTTAGTGTGAGCTAGCTCACAGGTTTTTAGCCTCCGGTTCACACATTTTTGGGTTTGCTCAGGAAAGATGGGCTCCAGAGCAAACTAATTTATGCAGTAGTCAAATCACCCGCTCACAACTTTAATGCCAGTAGCTCACAAAGTAGCATTTTTGCTCACAAGGCTCTGCAGCTTAGAGGGAACATTGCCTGTGAGGTAGGTGGGGCTGAGAGAGCTCGTTCGAGGACTGCCCTGGAGAGGACAGCTCTGAGAGAACTTGTCACTGACCCAAGGTCATGCCAGCAGCTGTCTGTGCAGGAGTGGGGAAATCAAACCCGGTTCTCCCAGATTAGAGTCCGCGCTCTTAACCACTACACCAAAGTGGCTCTCCCTGAAGATCTAAATCGATGAAGTCTTCTTAAGACCTGGTACTCTGCAAACTGATGCCTAGGGATGCCAACATCCAGGTGAGGCTTGGCGTTCTCCCACACTAGAGAGATCAGTTCTCCTGGAGAAAGTGGCACCTTCCGAGGATGGCCTGTATGGCATCACAGCCCTGCTAAACTCCCTTCTTCCTCAGGTTGCCACTCTCCGGGTGGTAACTGGAGATCTCCTGGGAGTACAGCTGATCGCCAGGCAACGGAGATCAATTCACCTGGAGAAAATGGCTGCTTTGGAAGGTGGACTCTATGGCATTATATCCCATTGAAGTTCCTTCCCAAACCCCACCCTCCTCAGGCTCCGCCCCCAAACCTCCAGGTATTTCCCAACCCGGAGCTGGCTACCCTTCTTCTTCCACAAACTCCCCCCCCCCTCCTAGGCGCCTCCCCCAACTCTCCAGGAATTTCCCAATCCGGAGTTGGCAGCCCTACCAACTGGATACCAGATCCAGTTCCTTAGGGCAGACAACGCAAGACATAGGGGAGCCGTGCAAAGAAACCCACAAGAGCCGCAAGTTACTCAGATCTGTGAGGAAACTTGACTCAGAAGCTTTTATAGGGGTCAGGAACGATCACCTGATCTGTCCTGGCCTATTGGAATAAAGAAGACTTCCCGTAGGTGTGATTGTCACCCCGCAATTCACTCCACTGGCCAGAGTCAGTCAGGTGATGCACAGGCGGAAAGCCAAAATAGACAAGCTGACTTTTATTCAAGTGTTAACATCAGGGAACTAATGTTCCCAAGTACTCTGGGGCCTGGTTTGCCTCAGGAGCCCCACACAGGGGGCAGAGGTAGAGTTGCCATCCTCCAGGTGGGGCCTGGGGATCTCCCGCTTTTACAACTCATCTCCAGCTGGCAGAGATCAGCTCCCCTGGAGAAAATGGCTGCTTGGAAGGGGGGACTCTGTGGCATTGTGCCATGCTGAGGCCCCTCCCCTCCCCAAGCCCCGCCCTCTCCTGGCTCCACCCCCAAAGTCTCTGGTATTTTCCAAACCGGACCTGGCAACCCTAGACAGAGGGAAAGGAAAACTTCCTCTTGAATTGTTCTCTGGAATGCTTGATCGCGTTATTTCCCCAGTTTACAAGTAACTGCAAGTTGGGACAGGGGACTCCTGTGTTCCCTCTAAGCTGAGTGAGTGTGAGCTAGCTCACAGTTTTTTAGCCTCCGGCTCACACATTTTTGTCTCAGCTCAGGAAGGAGGGCTCCAGAGCAAACAGATTTATGCAGTAGCCAAATCGCTTGCTCACAACTTTAATGCCAGTAGCTCACAAAGTAGAATTTTTGCTCACAAGACTCCACAGCTTAAAGGAAACATTGCTTATATTTCCTTCCTTCCTTCCTTCCTTCCTTCCTTCCTTCCTTCCTTCCTTCCTTCCTTCCTTCCTTCCTCCTCCTCACTGGGGACCCAAGGCAGCTTGCATGATTCTGCTCTCCTCCATTTTATCCTCACAACAACCCTGTGAGGTAGGTTAGGCTGAGAGAGTGTGACTTGCCCAAGGTCACCCAGTGAGCTTCCATGGCACGAGTGGGGATTTGAACCTGGGAGTCCCAGATGCTGGTCCGACCCTCTTAACCACTACACCACACTGCGTCTCGTGTCACGTGTATCATGCAGCTTGGCCCAAAGTCTCTGCCTGACTTCCTTCAAGTTCGAGACCTGCCTTGGGCTGGACTCCTGACCCCAGCTTCGAATATCACTGCCCCCAGTCCACTGGTTTTGTGCCAGCAGAAGGCTTCTAAACAGGAAGAACTCCCAGAGCCATGGCTCAGGGGGAGAACTGAGGATGCAGGAGGATTCCCCTTCTGTCCCTGGCATGCCCACATACAGGATTTCAGGCTGTGTTATGTATTGGGACTGGAACATTACAGGACTGATTCTACCAGAGACTGGCTGAGCTTGGAGCTCTAGAACAAAAGCACACCAGGACTCTGGAGGTGGCCAATGGGGAAGTAATGGTTCTAATAATGGCCCATCACTGGTAGTTGTTTGGGGAAGTGGGTGGAGTTGTATGCTATTTAAACAGGGCAGTTGCCCTGGCTTTTTCGCTTTTTGGTCTTGCTGAATCATGAATAAAGGAGAGCTGATCACTAAGTCTGGGGTCGGACCATCCACGGAACCCAGTATTTGACAGGCTGCAAGTAATGAGAGAGGCCCTTTCGCAGCACGAAACCTTGAAAAGCTACCGCTAATCAGAGTGAACGATACTGAGTTCAACGGACCAGTCATCTGTCTCAGAATAATGTTTTCATAACCATTCACACACACACACACACACCCTTGATCACAGACCTTTTAAGGGACACCCGAGCGCTCCATTCTGATAGAACGGTGTTACTGGCCACCTTCCACTCACCTCTTTCTCCCCGCAGATATTGCTGATGATGGAGCTCGACGCCGGGCTGGAAGAGGGTCCCAGGACAGCTACCACCCCTTTCGGAAGGATCTGGCACACTGGGGGTCCCCACGGAAGAGTCAGCCAGAAGGAAAAGAAAGAAGAGTTATTGGTAGTCTCCATAACAGGGTCGATACAGCCCTCTGGATCAGAACACAGGCCCACCTAGCCCAATATCCTCTTCCAGACAATGGACAGAGAGGAGCCTGCTGGAAACTCAGACGGTTGACTCCTGCTCTGTCTGTCTCTAAGGAGCTCAGGGCTGGCATACACAGCTCTTTTCGTTTTCACCGTATCCTCACCAGTAATCCTGTGAGGAAGGCCGGGCTGAACAAGACCAAGGCCACGTCCGTGAGCTTGGTGGCCAGGTGAGGAGGATTCGAACCGAGTTCTCCCCAGGACAAGAGCTCTATGCTGGCTTTTGCAGTCAGAAGCACACTCCTTTGGCATCTCTGTATTCCACCGAGCTCACTGGTAGTGGTAGTGGAGCGTGACATCAAGCGGTAGCCTACTTATGGCAACCCCACAGGAGAGCCAGTTTGGTGTAGTGGTTAAGTGTGCGGACTCTAATCTGGGAGAACCGGGTTTGATTCCCCACTCCTCCACTTGCACCTGCTGATGTGACCTTGGGTCAGTCACAAGCTCTGGCACAGCTGTCCTTGAAAAAGAGCCGTTTCTGTCAGAGTTCTCTCAGCCCCACCCACCTCACAGGGTGTCTGTTGTGGGGAGGGGAAGGGAAAGGAGTTTGTAAGCCACTCTGAGACTCCTTTGGGCAGTGAAGGGCGGGGTATAAATCCAATCTCTTCTTCTCTTCTTCTTCTTTTCAAGGCAAGAGGTAAACAGAGGGGGTTTGCCTTTACCTGCCCCTGTGTAGCAGCCCTGGGCTTCCTAGGTGGTCTCCCATCCAAGTACTAACCAGGGCCGACCCTGCTTAGCTTCCGAGATCTGATGAGATTGGTCTGGCCACGGTCATCCAGGTCAGGTTAGGTGTTCGGAGGTGGCTTGCCATTGCCTGCCTCTGGAGAGCAACCCGTGGTTGCCTTGGTGGGCTCCCCTCCAAAGGCTAACCAGGACCAACCCTGCTTAGCTTCCGAAACCTGACAAACTCAGGCTAGCCTGGGCTACCCAGGTCAGGGAGGAGGAGGAGGAGGAGGAGAAGAAGAAGAAGAGGAAGAAGAAGAGGAAGAAGAAGAGGAAGAAGAAGAGGAAGAAGAAGAGGAAGAAGAAGAGGAAGAAGAAGAGGAAGAAGAAGAGGAAGAAGAAGAGGAAGAAGAAGAGGAAGAAGAAGAGGAAGAAGAAGAGGAAGAAGAAGAGGAAGAAGAAGAGGAAGAAGAAGAGGAAGAAGAAGAGGAAGAAGAAGAGGAAGAAGAAGAGGAAGAAGAAGAGGAAGAAGAAGAGGAAGAAGAAGAGGAAGAAGAAGAGGAAGAAGAAGAGGAAGAAGAAGAGGAAGAAGAAGAGGAAGAAGAAGAGGAAGAAGAAGAGGAAGAAGAAGAGGAAGAAGAAGAGGAAGAAGAAGAGGAAGAAGAAGAGGAAGAAGAAGAGGAAGAAGAAGAGGAAGAAGAAGAGGAAGGCTGCAAGTGGAGGAGTGGGGGAATCAAAACCAGTTCTCCCAGATTAGAGTCCGCGCACTTAACCACTACGCCAAACTGGCTCACTGAGTTCACAACAACCACAGAACTTTATTTCTTTGAGGGGGGACATAACCCACCTGTGAGGATGCAATCCAGCCCCTCTCCATCTGCAGCCAGAAGCAGCACAGTGAGAGAACAGACTTGACTACTTGAGTCACTCAACTGTGTGAATGGAATCCATTTCCCCCACCTCACCCCACAAGAGGACTTTCTGGATTCATCCAGCAGTACTTTAGGTCTATTTGCACTGCGGTTAATGGATGATATTAACCGAGGAAATGACCCAGGTTAAAGCAACATACTGTAGAGGACATATTTGCATTCCTTTCCTCTCTCTGTTCATG